CACTCATTCACTCAAGTTCGACTCTAGCAATACTCCATTTCTCTCCAGCAATGTCTTCACATAGTTGAACAAGTTCCTCGCCTCCGGTCCACGAACATTCTTGGCAAAATTTATAGAAGGCTTAATGTTGTCCAACAAAAACGTTTGTTGCTTGATAAATTCAACAACATAAACCAGGTAGTGGTCGTCCTCATATTTGGGAAAGAACATCTGTTACATGATAATAAAACCTCATTTAATATTCAACATAAGAACAAGTAATATTCATCAAACCCATATTAGTATTATAATTACCCAGACTAATATTCTACCCCATTAATATTCAGCATAAGAACAAGTAATATTCATAAAACCCATATTAGTATTATAATTACCCAGACTCATATTCTACCCCATTAATATTCAGCATAAGAACAAGTGATATTCATAAAATCCATATTAGTATTATAATTACCCAGACTCATATTCTACCCCATTAATATTCAGCAAAAGAACAAGGAAATATTCAGAAAACCAAAATGGTATTAGAATTACCCAGACTCATATTCTAACCCATAAATAGTTAACTCACATAATTGCATTCTTTGAAGTCGGCAGTTTCAAATAATGGATCTCGATCAAGTGTGGCAAATGCCTCATCCAGGAGACTCTTAGTTATTCTTGCCCCACTCCTAAAATTAGCATTTGCCTTGTCATGTGATTGCATTGAAAACAAGAACTTGTGAAGAAATTGAAGAGCGTGGTTATTCATCACATGCATTCAAAGCCTAATTTTACTTATAACAAAAATCATAGGGAAGATGCATTTTGTCAGCTTCTCATTCTTCGTGACATTCTAGTCGTTGAGGTAGTATCCAAATGCCTCAACAACGACATAATTCAGCCATGTTATACGTTTCAAACTCAGAAAATGAAACCGACACACCTTGCACTTCGCGGTCTCCACAAATTCCGCAGAACTGTAAAAAGGACAAAGTATTTGCTAACACACTTTTATGACAACGCACGTGTAAATAATTAAATGAATATTGATTGGATAACACTTGAATACTTACTCGTTCTAATCTCTCGTACTAAGTGCGAACTCAACTATCGCCTTTTGCAAAGGGTCCAACTTGCTAGTAACAGTGTTGGAGAGGACATAGCCGGCTAATACTTCTGGCTTTCTCTTCGACCTCTCGAAGCGCAGAGTTTTCATGTCTGTTCCCTTCCATTGTATGGTCGTAAGCTCCCCCTCGTAGCCTTTAATAAGCACCTCCACTATTGGTGGTGAAGAATCAGTACTTGGAACACGTTTTCTTCGCTGGTAAATAACTGGAGCCTCCATGGGCACCGGAGCGGGCGTGACAGAGGGCATCTCCACGGGCACCGGAGTGGCCTTCTCCACGGACGCCGGAGTGGGTGTCTCCACGGATACCGGAGTGGTCTTTTCCACGGACATCGGAGTGGGTTCAACTGCCTCACCCTTGGAAGCCGGAGTGGGCTCCACAGATGACGAAGGAGGCTCAACAAAGGGCGAAGGAACCTCCTACATCGTCGGCTCCTCAATATCCTGCTCATATGGCTTGTTCTTCTCAACCATTTTCTCAAGTATGTGGCCAATTTGTGTGGTCAACTCCAGCCATCTTTTCCCCTCATGTCGACACACACTACGGCAAACCATTAGCTAGAAAAAGACAGAAAAGAGGTATTTAGGACATTGATAACACACTTTATTCAAATCTCATCCAAATAGTATTCAAACAAGAACGCTAAACATCCGTCCATCACCTAACAAAGTACATGGAAATAGTATTCAACGTACATGGAAATAGTATTCAAATTATTCAAACTACCCAAATCTCAACATCTATTACATCCAATTTCATGAAAGCTACTCATTCCTCTCCACATTGGGGCTCCACGTTTCCAATCTTGCAAGTCGTGCCTTCCACTTATTGAACATGGACTCAGTCATGCACTTCAACACCTTAAGCTACAAGTATGTGTAAATTTTTTAGTTCATGCAATCTACCTTACTCTAGTATGTTCGGGGGGAAAAAGTAAAACGTACATGATCTTCGTCCATGCGCTCCAAGTCGTCCTTTTCCCACCAAGAAGAGTTGTAAAACTCAGGAGCATAAGGAGCCTGTGTGCTGCTTTGCCATTTATCTCCAACAGAACCAACAAACCTCTGTCGAAGCTCTGGTCTTGTCATCAACAAACCTGCCATCCCCCCACTTCCCATGGTATGGATGGCTTCAACAACCTTCATTTGACTATCCTTGAACCAGTAGCTACAGGTTGGGGTGATGGAGGTCCCAACACCTTTGACCTTCAAAAATCCAACAGAGCCAAATAAGAGGAAGATGTTAGATTGGGGAAAAAAAAGAATATAAATGGCGAGACAAGATTAAAGTAATATTCAATCAGCTCAGACCCATATTCATAGAACACACACAGTAGTATTCATATCATATTGAAATTATATTCAAATAACCGAGTCTATTCAGACAATATTGAATCATATTCAAATAACCCGGACTCATTAAAAAAAACCCAGAGTCATATTCAAATAACATACACTATAATCAAGCACATTCGAACTCATATTCAAACACATTCAAAGTATTATTCAAACATGATAAAACTAATATTCAAATAACCCACACTCAGACTCATATTCAAAAAAACCGGAATCATATTCAAATAACATACTCTCAATATAACAAGCACATTCGAACTCATATTCAAACACATTCAAAGTATTATTCAAGCACGATAAAACTAATATTCAAAACAATCACACATATTCAAAAACATAAATGAAAGAACAAATACTTAAAACTTACAACGAGGAAGTGGACATCTCCATGGACCCAGTCAAGGAATGCCTTTCCTTGAACTACAACAAGACTACTCTTCAATTCCGCTACAACAAGGCCGGACCAGTTATAGCTTTTTATCCGCTCAATCTTCCCAACGAGGAACTCCGCATAGTCAAGCTCACAATTCCATGACCATGATGGTCGGATCAGTGAGGCAAGGGCAAGCAGCATGAACTGCTTGACGGCCTTACGAACATGAAGACTAGCATTCTCATCCGTTAACTTGTCCACCATATCACTCAGAGGAAAATTCCTGCACCTGTTTCCTCCCATCCCAATCTCAGCTTGAAAAGCCGACAACTTGGTTTTGTCCAGGCATTTCTCCAGCACTATTTCTTCCCCAACGTGAGGAAGGCCATAAATACGAGCCACGTCCTCGTCCTCTCTCCGAAAATGAAGCTCCCATAAATAGTATCGTAGTGTCTTGCCATTGCACACAGCAGAGACTTATCGACGCCACGCAATCATATCTCCAGCAATCCATCGAAGCCCACCTTCTTAAGCTCTTTCTCGCATTCCTCATAGTAGGTCTCATCCTTCTTCCAAAATTCAATAACACTCAACAATGATGATCTGTCACATCGATGCTGCGTTTCATGTGGTTTCTTGCCCTTGCCTTTCCCAGCAGACTTCCCCCCACCTTTCCCAGCAGACTTCCCCCCAGTTATCCCAGCAGATTTTCCCGCAGCTTTCCCAAAAGACTTTTCCTCAAACTTCCCAGAAGACTTCCCCCTAGACTTCTCAGCAGAAGTCTCACCAGACTTCCCTGCAGAGGTCTCACGAGACTTCCCAGCAGCAAACTTAACTCTTTTTGCAGAAGGAACATCTTCAGCAGCAGGAGGAACATCTTCAGTTGCAGGAGGGACATCTTCCGCAACAGGAGGAGGATCTACTAAGGGTCGTTTCATAGGTCCAGGAACATGCTTCTTGGTTCGCACCATTATTCCAAACCTGTAGACCAAAAAAATATATATTCAGAAAAGTGGAACAAACACAACACAATGAAGAGAAGTAATATTCAGAACTTTCAACATGCAGTATTAATCTAGCTGCAGACAAACAATTTCAATGAATACAACTAATATTCAAAACTAGAAGAACATTATACAACTAATATTCAAAACCAGAAGAACTAGTACTCGTCAACTATAATCCTTTTTATACTTATTTTCTATCAAATAAATATTATTTTCGTGCCATGTTTGTTCTTATACTCAATAAAGTCTTGAAAATATTAGGCCCGACACGACCCACTTATATATCGTGCCCGTGCCCATGAAGTTTAGGCCCGGCACAGCCCATAAATTATTCGTGCTCGTGCCGAGCTGGCCCATTTATTTCGTGCCCGTGCTCGTGCCGTGCTCTAACCGTGTGGTGCCGTGCTAGCCCGTGGACGACACGGCCCGGTGCCCACGTACAGACGTGACCCTCTCCCCACCGTGTGAGTTGGTGCACACAAAATTGGATGCGTGTAACATAGCGAAATTGACCGGTAGCACTCTCTTCCCTAGGGATGGCAATGGGTAGGGTCGGGTGCGGGTTTACCCTATACCAACTCCTACCCGTTGGGTAGAGCTTTCTAAAATACCCGACCAAATAACCACCGGGTATGAAAATTATATAATCATACCCTACCCACCGGGTAACCACGGGTATTCGGGTAACCATGGGTACGAATCCTAAACTATGAACTTATACACATATATGCACATACATACTGTTGTCCATTAAAAATTCTCAATATTTGTAACTATTCTAGCTTCAACAATCCACACAAATAAAAATAGCAAACACATAATAATTGGTCTTGCTTCTACAATCCACACAAACATAATAATCGTCTACATCTTCATCATCAATAATGGTAGCTAAACTCAATTTTTCAAACTAATCTAAATTTCTCAAGGGAAATTGACCTTTGGTTAGCGGGGCGGGTATAACGGGGCGGGTATTATCGATTACCATACCCGTACTCTATCCTTATTCTGAAACCGGGTATTACCCGTACCCGCCCCTTAACCCGTCAAAGCGGGTAATTACCTTAGTTGACCGGTTACGGTCGGATAGGGTACCCATGATTACGGGTTGGATTGACATCCTACTCTCCCCCTTTTGTTCATTCTTCTCGTTAAACCCTGAACAGCAAGAAATAATACCCCTGGTTTTCGCCGGGCGTCTCACCAGCAAGAAATCCACGCCGGAAAGTCCGATTCTTTCCGCGGGAAAAACGAAACTCGGATCTGCAAATGAACATGGCGATGGAGGCAGCTTCAATTTCGAAAACCCTAACAAAAGCATTTCTTTTGAGAGGTTCCCGCTGCATTCTCTCTTCCTCTTCCCCCTCATTGTCATCTTCGCCGCACTACAGCACTGCTTTTGCTGCTGTTCTTGATGTTCCACCCGCTGTAGAGACAACTTCCTCTCCTCGACCTCAAGGTTTTGCGGCGTTCACTTTCTTGATCTCATTTCCTCAATATCTTTCGAGAGTTTCTGGGTTTGTCGTCAATGGAGTAATTCTGAAAGCTGGAAATTTATGTGGCACTGGCAGAGCAACCCAAGAGTGGCTCTTCGTGGACACGATGGTTGCTTTTTCTTCCTGGGACGATTACTTTTGGCCTTGGGACTTGGCAGATCTTCAGAAGAGAGGAGAAGGTACTTGGGCTCCCTTTACTCGACAATGTAATTGCTTTGCTTCCCTTTTGGTGTTTCAATCTTCAGCTTATATTTCATCGTTATGTTTAGTCAGTTATTTTTGAGTCGTTTGGCGTTGAAGTTGGGATGATCTTTCTGCCTGTGATTGTTAATTGATACCTTCTTGGTGCTTTAGTTTTACTTTGATAGTCTAGGCTTAATTCCTATGGGTTGATTCTGACTTCTGAGCCATTGCTCTGGGGTTGACAAAATTTTATGTTAAGAACCCCGTTCTTGATTTCAATTTGCGTATCGCCTTTAGACTCTGAAGCATATTATCGCTGGTTACTGATCTTCAAGAATTACTTGGACTGCCTTGTGTCGAGTTCTCAACTTCAACTTTACTTGGTTCAAAGTGGACATCATAGTTTTCCAGTCATTGGTTAAGTAGCTAGCCTGGGTGTCTGCTGAGCACAATGAGGTAAAGGTTTCAGCATAAGCATGATTTTGCATCTTATGCAATTGTATCTGAGCAATAATGTAATGCACTATGGAAGCTTATGGATGACATTTCTTTCTGTAAATTTTGACTGCTTGTGCTTTTGGGAATCCTTTCTTTGTTGATCTTTCTCCATCTCTATCTTGATCTTCATGTGATTACTATCAGTCCCATAGTCAGCATCTACTATAGACAACTTCAGGCATAAGACATCTAGCTAAACAACATGTTTATGTTTATCAAATAGCTAAATATTGATTCTTCCTGAGCAAAAGAGCTGACATTTACTTTTCATTTTTCATGATTTCTCTTATAGATTGATCATTCAGAGTGGTAAAATGGACTATATGTCACTAGGAATGAAGGGGCTTGGAACTTGTATTAATGGATGAGCCTTTTGTCTATTGTTTGTGTATGACCTGGTAAACATGTTAGTAGTGTTACGAATCAGGTAATCATGTAATTGCTACAGCTGGGGAAAAACTTGCATGTGCAGAGAATTCTGAGGTTTGTTGTCGAGAGATAACAAAGTCCAAGGCTTGTGATTTTTCTCAAGATTTAATTGTTAGAACGTCTTGTTTTGTTCTGTGATATCATGATGAAACTATTCTTTGCTGAAGATCCTAGAACTGAACCTTGCAGGCAAAAGTTTGAAAGCACTTATATCTTATTGATATGTTGGATAAATACTTTTTTTACAGTTCATTAAGGAGATATAATGTGATGAAATGGACACTATTACTTTTGTCTAGATCTTCACTTTCAAATCAACAGGACTAGGCATATCCAGAACCATCTGTAGTTTTTACTGTAGGCGGAATCTGTCTAGTTAGAAAGACTCTTCAGCATTGAAAGTTATTAGATTGCTGTTGGCTGCCTGACTAATGATTTAAAAGTTGTATATGTATGCAGATAAAGGTGCTTGAGCATAGACAGAGGAGATTAGCACTGGAACCTATGAAGTTGAACGATCCCTCTCCAGCAGATGAACAACTTGATGCCCTGGAATTTAGAAGAGTTTCCTGCAAAGGAGTGTTTGATGAAGATAGATCTATATTTGTGGGTCCACGTTCAAGAAGTATTTCAGGAGTGACAGAAAATGGCTTCTATGTGGTTACTCCCCTTATGCCCATTCCCGGAGACCCCACGAGGTATGCCTAATTAGCAGCCTTGCTAAGGAACTCGATTTCAATATTTGTTTGATTTTCATGGTTTTTCATATGGTCCAACATACTGCTGCTTGGTAAACAACTCTTATTGTGTCAATGGCATGCTTCTCTTTTACTTGATAAAAATGTTAAATGGTATGCTTTTTCAGCGTGAAGTCGCCGATTCTAGTCAACAGAGGATGGGTACCACGCATTTGTAAAGAAAGATCTCTAGAACCTTCACTGAATACTACTAATCAGCTCCCTGATGTATCAGCAGTCCCTAAAGCTCACAAGAGACGAAGAGGCTTACAGTGGTGGTGGTTCCGGTCAAAGAAGCCACAAACTACTGAGGTATCTCTTGAATTGCCATTCGTCTGTACTTGTTTCCATTTATCGTTGACTATACTATTGATCCAACTTTGTAACACAGGATCAACCACCTTCCAGCGATCCTGTAGAAGTAATTGGCGTGGTACGAGGAAGTGAAAACCCGAGCATTTTTGTTCCTGAAAATGATCCAAACTCAGGGCAATGGTTCTATGTCGACATTCCTGCAATCGCTGCTTCATGTGGGCTTCGTGAAAATGATATCATATATGTGGAGGACGTCCATGAGAATGTTAATCCAAGTTGCCCATACCCTGTCCCAAAAGATGTCACTACCTTGATTAGTAGCTCAGTCATGCCACAAGACCATCTCAATTACTCATTCACATGGTAATAGCTAATAAGCTTGTTTGCTTTTCCCTGTATCAACATGGAAATTTCAGAACCTTTGTTTTGACAGAGGTTCTTGGCTTTCTGAATCTTATGTAGGTATACTCTGTCTGCCGCTGTCACATTTATGGCGTTTAAACGATTAAAGCAAAGGCAAACTCGGAGGTAACAGAGGCTTAGAAGTAAGAGATCTGGGATTTTTTTCCTTGTGAAGAAACATACATTGTTGAGAATCGATCGATTGCACTCTTTGCAAGAAATGCTATTATATGCAGATGTTGAGTTTGCAGAACTGGAACTACTAGCAGCGTATGAAGTTTCTGAATTCATCTTCTGGCCTTGACTTTGTCATTTGGTGGAAATTTTGCACAGCTTCACTGTATCATGCAGCGGCCAGATTCTGGTCATTAGATAGGCATAGTATTTCTTACATTGTACTGAATCATGGAATCATTTGTTACGAATTCGCTGGTGGTGGTTTTGAATAAGGCAATGGATTCTTTTCTGTGGTTGTTTCACTGTGTATTCTACAAGTTAAAGTCTACTTATTGCTGTTTTGTTGCTATTGCGGCGTTGCTTCAAGCTTAACGTCCAGATAATTGCGATATGAAAAACTAATTGCCTCACAACTTTCGTGCGCATTCATACCACAAACAGCCTATATCCATACCAGCAGTGTCCTTGACATCCTGTTACCTGACGCAGCTCATCAACTGTTGCATTGGCAATATGCTTCCAGATGCCCTGGCCAGGTAGCCAGATCAGGGCAAAATAGACAAGGGTGCGCAGTAGCAGCATTGCACGATCGACCATTAGTTCCTGACTTCATTGTATTTTCTAAAAACTGTAGTAGTACTGTACACTATTTGCTTTTTTTACACAAAAGATTGAAGCCAATAATATGCAACCAAAGAATAAGAGATCAACTGAACCACACTATAAAGGAGACGAATGAATGAAATGGAAAAAAGAAAAGGAGGCAAAGCAAACCCTACAAAAAGACTATCTAACCCTGTGTTGCTTCTAATCTAACGTACACTTTTTACAAGTAGCGGAGGAGACCGGGTATGGCTGCTTGCCTTGATCAATGCAACAAAGTTCGACAAGCTTTCCAATGAGAACCACCTGAGTTTCCATACCAAGCATCCCGAACCAGGTCTCCAACTGTCGACCCATCTTCGTCCTTTGGTCGATGTGTCTACCGTGTCCTTTGCTAGGATCAGGGTTGTACAACAGCTCTCTTCTGCATCATCTATTACCTGACCAGAATCATTTAAACAGGCAAAAGCAGTTGTCGTCAGATGAAGAAGAATCAATGATCACACTGCCCGAAACATAAGGATTTATAGATGCGACAGGAGGACGTCAGAGTGGATTCTGTACCAGTTCAAGTACGTCACTGATAGAGCACCGAGCATCCAAGGAGAAATATGCGGCTGGCAAAGAAGAAGGTGCACCGTCCTCCAGAGGAGATCCAAACTGTTTGAGGTCCTCGGTGCACACAAGTAAACTGCCTTTGACTACAAATAGTGATCTCAAGTACCAAGATGCACCTGTTAAAGAAAAGAAAAAAAGGCCAACTTAAATTACAATGTACTGTAATTTGGATCATACACACAAGATGACGGCAAAATCCAATTCTTAGAAATTCTGAAGTGGCTGAAGATAGAGAGAGAAATTATGTTTGTCTAGGGCTCTAGGCACATTATTTACTTATCATGTTGCAATTTTACAGCTCATAGAGCATGAAATTTCAATCCAACCACCCGAAGGGGAAAGAGAAGGAAAAAGAAATTTTAACTTAATGCAAACAAAAGTTTATAAAGATTGTGTTAGGATCTAAGAATTAGATTCTTGTGCAAAAGAGAAAGTTGATCATAATGCTCAACGCACGACTACCCACTCTATTACACCGTCCAGAAAGACTTAACAAGTTATTTTCGCATCTTAAACACGTAGGTCTTCCTATGAGAATCTCGTTAAGATTATGCCTCATAAGGATCCTAGGGATGTAACCTATGGTAAATTCACAGAACAAAACTCATTATACAACTTGCCTTCGCGTTAAGAACACACTTGAAGAGTTTTCCATTCTAGGTCTATAGTCAGAACTTCAAAATAATCATTATTTTTTTCCTAATAGCAGGATTATTCAGTTAGTCTTTCTTATGTTTGCAGCCTCTCTGTGCAAGAGGGCTTGTATTGTCAATAAAAATTTCAAAGCATTGCAAGAGTCATTCATTATGACTCCCAAGAGTCGTCAACCTGGAGTTAAGGTGCCGAACCTATCAGATCTTATCACCAACTGGTGTGGCGATTGTTCCTCCATGCTACCTATCAAAGGCCTTGATTTACGCTAAATCTTCTAAATTCCGACACCAATATATCAAAATATTTTAGAGCGACCGTAGCCACGTCATGTCCGTAAGTTCTACTATCATCATAAGTCCACTAGTTTTGGAGATGAAAGCTCACCTTTGTTGTTGTGACGGAAATAAACCATAGAATATTGATATATGCTTGTTCTTGAACCACCACATATTTGTTTCTCAAACAACTCAACCTGAACCTGCTCCAAACTGCCACATAAGTTTCCAAAATCCATCAGTAGAATTTTAAATAAATAAAACGTGCACAAAAAAGTTTTGACTCATTGGGCAATCTGAAATGTTACCACACATGCACTGCCAGAAATCAATTTATCATCCGAATTCATATGAGAAAGGGCATAATATACAGAACCTTCTGAATGAACAAGTCTCATTTGACGTCAAGGAACTGTAAAGATCCAAGGTAAAAAAGAGCTGCCTCAACTTTTCAATGCTCCTTGTCAGAAACAAGTAGGTTGCTTGCCTCTGGATGGACACTCTGATAGGCAAGAACCCAAAAGGGACTCAGGTTAAGGAATATGATCAATCAAAAAAATGTTCACAAGGAACAGAAGGAACTCACCTCACGATCTGAAGTCCAATGCCAATCATGACTTCACTAACATCTTCAATTTTGTGTGAACGTAACAAAGTGAAAGTATTTCCTGCAGCATGCCAGCAAAGTGAACCTCCATAGTTGTAATGCTGAACAACCAGGATAAGAAAGTTCCACATATCAAACTCAACAAAAAGTAATGAAATATTCCCTATCTAAGAGCTCGGAAACTAACCTGTACCGTTCAAAGCTAAACCGATAAGCAGCAAATACAGCTTGTTCTCACTGCTCCGTAATAACACAACTTCACTGCATCCAGACAAACTCAGAGAATTCAATGACTAGTAAGAAAAGCTGTGATAAAACCCAGAATTTCGTACCCTTTGCTATATGAGATGCTATAGAACAAACTAATGCCCCAGATCAAACCGAATTACAACTAATGGTAACTCTTGCATCGTACACTCAAGAACGTCAGGATAATATGTTAGATGGTCACCAATGCAAGATAAAAGTGAAGGCACCCTATGATAAAACTCAAACTTAAATGAGGGTTGCATCTCAAACTGGATATCTGAAAGCTTATAGTGGCAGGATTCACTTGAACCAAAAACAGAGAAATAATTGCAATGCAGAGAAACAATTTAATGCTTTGGTTAACGATGGTTTCTACCAAAAGAAAACCTAGTAACTTTGTTACATAAGACAGAAAGCCATGAAGTACCTACACCCTCTTTTTGCAAGGAGTCTCAAGCAATTTAGAAATAGAAACTATTTTGAGAACTAATGTATTATCGTTCTTGAGCTTCTTAATCGGTAAATTAAAACAGCATTCACCCATGGTTAATCCTAGAGTCAGTCTTGAGAGAAGATGCATACATGTCAATCAAATTTATGCGTCGTGGGGAGACACAGTGCTGAGTGAGATAACAAGGTGTTAACATCCTCCACTATGACACATTGTTCCCCCCGGTAACATAAAATTGATTTCAAAGTCACCAAAGGGTGCTTATATGAATGAAAAGAAAACTTCAGACCAAACGAAGAGCTTTGGCAAATTACACAAGCTCCATCTCAAGAGTGTAGTGCAGCGAACAATGACTTCATACTATATATAATTAAGCAACTTCAGAAGAAAGTCTACCTTTCCTTGAGTGATGCTTCTGTCTCAAGAATACAACTGCAGAACACAGAATAAAGACAGGTCTCATCACCGGCAGAATCTCCAACAATCTCGTTGAAGTTTTTCTCTATGGAATCAACGGAAGATTTACCAACAGTTGAATGTATTGAACTAAATGCACTAGTATGCAACCATTTCTCGTCAATGGCCTCAAGAATACCATTTCCCTCAACTGTTTGCTCCCTTTGATTTTCTTTTATGCCTTCACAAGCATTTGGACTACTATTAGACTTCTCTGATGGGCCTGTACATTCAACCAAATTTTCTGCTATTCGACCAATTCTCCTTGCTTTCCTTCTGCTTTTTCTCTTCTCCACCTCATGAACCTCTTGATCATCAAAATTACGAGCTACACCATTGCAAGTAACACCAGATGAACCATTGGTCCATACACCTGATCTTTCTGATATACTAGAGATTTGTCCAGAATGCGAGTGCAATCCATATTTGTCACCTCCTATGTGATGAATAGAATTCCCTTCACCAGTCTTCTCACAATTGCCTACTGATAATGAGATCCTTGAAAGATTTGGATTACAGTTTTCTTCAGTCAGCTGACTTCCATCATCAACTTGATACATAGGATGCCCAATGTCATAAAATTCATCTTCGCTAGCAGTTGTATCGGTATCAGAAGATACCACTGAATAGGAATCGGCAGAAAGCTGCATAATTTCCTCCACCAGGTTATGGCGACGGTGCAGAAGGTCCTTTTGATAGTGAGGTGGAGACCCATGGAAATTAGAAGATGACAGAGATTCTGTTGCATCATCTATTGTGCTCAATGGTGATAGTCTAGCATTTTCAACCATCCCCCCGCCTCTTTGGACATTGGAACTATCAAGATGCGAACTCGCGGTTTGCACAGATGGAGTAGCTAGCCCTTGATACTTCAAGTTGAAAATCTTCCTTCCAGAATCCGGTACAGCAATCCCACCCTGTGCATCACTATGAACGTCCACAAAGGAACTGTTGGGGTGAAAAACATTTCTGCCAGTCTCATCTTCAGAAGCTTGAAGATAGTCACAGGAACATCTTGACCCTTCTCCCTGATGCTTCTTGCTTGCTTTCTTTCCTTCACTGATTCCTTTTGCAGCCTTGGAGATGGAGCCATTATATCGATTGCAATCCACAGATTTCACAGGTTCAGGATCCATCCATTCCTTCAATTCTTTCAACCAGAGAGAAGAGCGCTCTTTCTTCATGAGTTCAACTCTGTTGATCAAATTGACAATCTCAGCTTCATCATCAGAATTCATGTTTTCGTCCTTGCTTTGAGCCTCATGATTGCATGTGGAAGACTCCGGATCAGACATAGAAGAGACACAATCTTCATCACTCTTGATTGAGGCAAGACGACATACTTTTTGCTGCAAAATGCTTTGGCTTGGTGAGATATAATAACCAATGACACCTTGCAGTATAAGTAAGAAACAGAAGTATTCAGCATTGAAAACACTAATTAGCCACAGAAAGGTAGAATCAGGCTAAGTACTGAGAAACACATGGCAAAATCAGGTCTGAGCGCATATTTATTGATAAGACATGCTCACACATTAATAGACTAACATATATCTTATTCGTAAATACAGACCTTTTTCTTGTTGATACAACTCTCTCCTAAAGCATCGTCTACAGCAGGAGAATAAAATCCAAAGCTGGCAGGTCGCTTGTGTCTGCTAGCAACTATGATTTGTCTCTTCCAGTACTCCCTTGTGCTAATGGGTTTGTCATCTAGCTTCAACTAATCAGCAAAAGAAGATGAACAAGATGGCTCTTAGCATGGCAGGACTTTGTGATAAAAACCAAGTTATAAAAGATAATTTCAATCAATGCAAGATGGTATATTTCGCCCACTCAAACAGACACAATCAGAGTTGCCTTTTTCCAGTTAAATCCATACTAACCGCATATTTTTCCCACTTCAAATTTATCACCATTCTCAAAATACTGAATATCCAATCACAAAATGATACAGGAGGCCTTTCTTAAATCATTGATTTCGCTTAAAAATACATAATAGTTGCTAAATTTTTATGCCTATCATGTAATCTAACAATTCAATTATTAAAATACCCCTCGCTTGCCCATTAATTTAATTCTTTGTTTTTCAAACATCACTTATATACTTCAATGCATGGTCTCTCAAGTCTTATGTTGAGGCCTTCTTTCTTTCCCACTTGTGCCCCTTCTGTTTGTCATAGTTGGCTTTCGAGAAAGAGGGATTACTAAAATCAGCCCCTTATTCCTAATAGTTTCAGTATATGTTCCGTAATTCTAAAAATGGAGTTTCCCATGTCCGAATGTCCCACAAGTGACATTCAACACTAACATAAACATTCACTTTCAAACCATCACTTGAAACTCGACTCAGATATTAGGATGACAAAAGCTTCTCTTGCAGGACCCTTACTTTGACCTACATACACAGTTCCCCTCCTTACCAAATCTTGGTTTTGACATTGATTCTGTCACCATGGTTGACTTTGTGGTTAGGAGGAAGGGAACATAAAATTCTCAATAGTAAAAATTCCAACACTTACATTGCAAGGTTGAGAAAAGAAGCTGAATACTTGTGCTCGATACCACCTCCCGCAACATAACGGATTTCCTTCCAGCCACAAGTTGGATAGTGAGTGAAGGCTTGAAAGGACCTCCAGCTCCAAAAAGTTGGAAACAATGTTATATGAGACATCAAGGTGCTCTAGCGACTTTAAGTTCTCAAGGCCATGCAGTGTTGTCAATGCATTGTTCCTCAGTACAAGCTTAACAATGTTGCATGGTACCTGCAGATCCAAACCAGGATCTTATGATCAGTACTCTGCCTAGTGTTCTGAATTTCAAGAGCAAACTAAACCTTAATAGTGGTTACGAACATATTTTACAAGCCATTGCCTCGGATCAGGGTTCACTGTGAGGTTGATGGATCATGAAGGACCAAAATTACTTGTTTGCATCAAGCTAAGAGCTTAAAATATAATGGCTGACTTCACAGTAAGTTACATGGCTAGAAAAGAATATAAGATATGTATCTTGTTGATCCTAAGGTTCACTTCACACATAATCTTTGAGATGCCACTGTGTCCAGACTTAATATCCTCCGACTCAAGAATGACTCTGCAAACCTAAAACTGAACCTTCAAATCTAGTCTAGACCCATTCCAATCGTATCACCAACTATAAAAAGATGGTTGCTCAAAAAAACTTTGACAAGATGGACCAGTCCTGCTAGCTGGAGATCACGGCACTATCGAACTTTTAAAAGGTCCATTCCAAATATTCATCGGTGTGATTTTTTTGATACATCATGTCTAACCTTACGAGGATCATATAGCATCACCCAACTTAGAAAACAAGAACTAAGGAACGTGAGATTGAGATTGCTAAGTGGTTCCCAAGAATGATTACAGTATACCTACTATGAAGCATTCTATATCTGCTTGAAATTGGAAACAAAGAAACCAGTAACAACAACTAGAACTTGGTGTAATAAGATACAAGGAAACACTACTGGAGTTCAGAGATAAATTCAACAATGAACTTTATGCACAAACTTCCAAAAGAGTAACCATCGAAAATGACATATCTACGTATTTAGAAGGAGTGTCAGAGGGATCAACACCTACCTCGCCAAAGGGAGCAATTCTCCTCAGATGGTTGAACCCAAGATCCAGGTGCTTCAAATTGACACATTTCCGCAGATTATCAACTTTAGCAAACTTATTTCGACTCAAATCAAGAGTCTCAACAGCAGGAAGAAGTTGCAGCGACTCATCCATCAAAACCAAGCGGTTAGATGCACATGACACGAACGATAACTTGTTCCACTGTGGAGAATCCTTAATGTCCACAATCCTGCTGGCAAACACATGCCGAAGAGCATCCTAGATTGTGAAAGAAAAGCAAAGAACGTAAGGCTCCAAAATTAAAGCCAACCTCCTACATCAACAATTCACACATAAGCTCGCCAGCATCTCTCAATCTTCCTTTCATCACAATTTTCATGGAGTTGAAAAACGAATTAGGGGGAAACAGAAGAGTGAAAGGGCGGAAAGAGTAGGACTCACAGTAGAATTATGGCAGACGATCTTCTCCAAAGTATGCCTCAGCTCAAGCAAACCCCTAGCAGCCGAAGTAGACAAATCACATCCTCTAAGCTCCAAGACCTTCAATCTCTCAAACGGCAGCAAGGACAAAGGCGTAGGATCTCGCGTCGGCGGCGGCAGAACCGAGACGACCTTGAGCGACGTGAGCAGCCTGAGGATGCGGCGGAGCTGCTCGAGGGCGCGGTAGTCCCCTAGGTCGGAGACGTAGGCGCGGAGGTAGTCAACAGGAGCACCGGAGACGAGATTCTCTAGCTCCTGCAAGGCCTCGAGGCGGGAGTGGACGTAGTGGAGACCGGCCGGGTTGAGCTTGAGGACGAGCGGGCCGTCGATCAGCGGACCGGCCTGTTGCTCGACGAAGTGGACCAGCTTTTCCAAGTAGCGATCGCCGGTGACGATCGCCATGGGAATTGGACTGAGGAAATGGCGTGGAGGATTGGTTTCAGAAGAAGACGCCGAAGGCTGAAATTGGAGAGGGACGGAACGAACGAAGAGGAAGAGGGAGGGAGGAGTTGGCTAGAGAGAGAAAGGGGGTTTGGGAGGGATTGGAAAGATGATGATGAGAGAAACGGCCATGGCTGGCGAACAAACTAAAACCAGATTTCGAAGGGAAGAGACGGTTTTCGTAATTATGTGTGTGATTATTATTATTATTATTTACATAATTAAACTAGTGTTGCTGCTGGAAATGGCGTGGATCTCCATCATTGGGGGCCGGGGGAAGAGAAAAATCGCCTTCTCCGAGAAGTAAAGTGAGAGAGCTTTGTTTGTAATGTTTTGTTGTAGGTTACGCTATTTATATTACAAGCATTTTTATCAATTGGAAAATTTACTTTTTTAAAAAAAAATTGGAACTTTACAGAATTGATATGCGTGTAAGTTTATAATTATGGCTCAAGATAGGTGCATAACCATGGGTTATGCATCCATCAATAACCAAATCTGGACCCTTTATTTAGAAAATCCAGATCTAAGGATGGAGAATTAAAGACCATTTTTATTTTCCCTAGCTTTCTTAATCGGCTCATATCTTTTTCGTTTTAACTCGGATTTTAATTTTTTTTGCACAGGTGGAACTAGTTCATCTTGCTCTACAATATGTATCAATTTTCAATATTTTTTTAGAACAAAAAATTATGGCCTATCGGTACCAACTGCATACCATATGGTATTTTCTTCATTTTTAATTCGTTTTTGAAAAGGTTTGCACAGAAGGGACGAGTTCATCATGATCTATTGGATCTACAAATTTCTGGGTGAACAAATTACAGGACAAAAAAATACCACACAATACCATACAATACCACCCTGGTACGAGGTGGTATCTTATGGTACACAATGTTAAAAGTCGTAAATGACAGTTAATATATTTCTACTATATTGGATCTATTGGATCTACAAATTTCTGGATGAACAAATTACAGTACCAAAAAATACCACACAATACCATACAATACCACCCTGGTACGGGGTGGTATCTTATGGTACGCAATGTTAAAAGTCGTAAATGACAGTTAATATATTTCTACTATCATGTATTCAACCATCCTACAGTCTTGGTTTGTTCATACCACCATGGTACGCTTTTCAAACCATAGGTATGCTCTTATTTCAATACCAGTCAATACCATATGGTATAGACTGTTAAAAAATGGCTCAATTTTTTTTGTTCGAAAAATATATCAAAGTGGATATCATTTTGAAGAGCACAATTAATATGATATAACTGTGTAAAAAAAATTAAATTTTGACTTAAAACGAGTGAGAAATCTTCCGTCAAAGATTAAGAAGGGAAAATTAAAGACTTTTCAGAAGAGAGAGGGATGCTGATGTCATGCCGATGTGGACAGGTTACTCATGATTACTCACCATAAGGTTACTGACCTGATTCGTTCCCTATAATTATATATAAATTCATGTAATGGGTCCATAATACCATATTATGTTCATAATAATTACAAGTGTGATTATGTTTAGGACATAGTTTGAGTTATGACATGACATCAAATCATGTTTTAATTTAGTCCAAGTATATTTTTTTATATAAAGCACACTATCCATGTGCTTGATTTTATAAGAAAGTAAATATAGAACCTAACCTACCTCATCAACATCATCAATTTCGATTATTTGACTTTGATTTACTTTTGCTTGTGAACTTATTGGGCATCATGATTGTCGAACGTTGTGAACGCAAAATTTCTCAAAAATCTTACTATCACATTGAAGTTAATCAACTTGTTAGATGGCAGAATTCTACAAGTAGATTACTAACTGCTTGAACCTAACTGAGTGTAGGAGTGAGGTTCGGGGGAATGGGTCGAGAAGAGTTAGCAATCAGAATTCACCGTTGGTCGAGGAACAAAGGTGTGGGAGAATGTGGTTGAGAGCAATATTTTAGAGAGAGAAGTTGATAGTTTTAGAGGTCGAGTCTCCAAAAATCCGATCTCCCTCACCCACTGAAGTAAATGCCATATTTATAGGCTACATGGTGGTGGGTGAGTTACATGGTGACATGACTACTAACATGTCAGAAGTTTAGGCCACACCTCTACCTAGGACTAGGGGATTTGCCCATGATTATACATAGGACTATGATGTGACCACTACTCGGGGAATGCGGCGTCGTTTTCAACTTTCCATGGCTTCTTGGTCTGGTCAACGCTTGACTGAAACGTCGTCATTCGGCGTATGGGGATCTTTGTCCACGAGTGTGGACTTCGCCGCGCCCGAGATCCTCGCGCAAGCGCAGCTTTGGTCGCGCTGGCACTAACGCGCCTGACTCTTCCGTGAGCGGTGACGGGTGCTTCCTTGGCGCGGCGACCCGAGTCATATACCCAACAATTGCCCCCCATCAGGCGGTATTCCGCGGATGCCGTCTGTTTTGATTTCCGCGAGATTGGCTCGGGTCTGCGTGATCTCCGTGAGAGGTTCCGGGCTGTTTGCGCGTGACTCTTGGGATTGAGATTGGATTTGGGGGTGCTTTTTGATTTGATTTCCACGAGATGCTCTGGACTGGTTGCGCGTTACTCTTGTGATTGAGTCTGGATTTGGGCGTGCCTTTTTCTTCTTCGCGGGTGCACCATGCGTGAGATGTTCCGGGCTGTTTGCGCGTGACTCTCGGGATTGATATTGGATTCTTGGGGGTACTTTTTGATTTCCGCGAGATGCTCCGGCCTGGTTGCGCGTGGCTCTTGTGACTGGGTTTGAATTTGGGCGTGCTTTTTTCTTCTTCGCGGGTGTGACACCCTTACACCATTGACACGTCACTAGCAATAATTTCTTATACCGAATAAAAACATGTGGAGAGTTCAGTTCCGCCATCCACCTCACGACAACCGACTTGTTTTCTTCTATCACGATCCCTTTGAATCTGGGAAAAAAATATTGACGGGGGTGAGACGTCACTCAATGAGTAAACAATAACCTAATACAAACATTAATACCAAAATAGTAACGAGTGATGTTGTACCCCCGAAGTACTTCTCCTATCATCCATGACACATTCATATCACTTACCCTACTATAACAACCGACAATACATAGTCACATTCAGCCAAGGTCTCACAACACATGCCATATACCATATCACAGATAGATCACGACACAAGAGATTTCATTAGATAACACACACATCTATTGATTTCATCATGCACTCCAATATCATATCAATGTAGTAAACGCATGGAAAACCATCACATAACTATATCATCCACATGCACATTTTGTATATCAGATCATAGGAAGTCATTACATAATCTCATCATAGGAAATCTTTATACAAGGATTCAATCACATTACAGTTAGGTTGATTCAGTGGCTTTTACTTCATTAGCTTGTCAAATCATACACTCTTCCAAGATATAGGAATAGGGATTACCACTGGTTCTAATAAAACCTTTCACCGCGGAACGTATCTCAGCCCGGTGCCATTATACCACTGCGGGACATACCCAGCCCAGTCTCATCATATCACATACCACCGCGGAACGAATCACCGTCCGGTGTCATCATACCATGTTCTCCCTTTTCCCATATCTTGTGTTGAGTGTATAACAAGGCAAGCATTATGTTTGGTTTAGTTGACCATGCAATAACATTTCCATGTATGCCATTAAGGCCAATCAATTCCCCTTTCATATACAGATAGTATACTTTTAACCATCTTCTGACCTTTCTCATTAATGTGCCTTATAGGCCATTTCCGTATTCTAATCATGCACTTTCATTCTAGGCAAGGTATATTGCCTATCATTTCACCTCAAATGTTACTCCCTGTTTCATGTACCCGATATCTCATTTTATATCATATCGTCATAGCCCATATATCATACCGAAAACCATCATGCAATATATTATACAATACATGTCACATACCAACATGATCATTCAAGTAAGTATGCACACATACAAGTCATCATCCATTTTCATACAAACAACACTATGATATCACACGAATCAAACAATATTAACTTATCCTGTACTCGAGTCACTTCATGACCCGAATACTATATTCGTATTAATATAAGCATTAGGTTAAGATTTAATCACCCATATAGTCGTTACTTCGTTATACTCTTGCCTTTCGATGATTTCCCCATCTTACTCTTCACCGAGCGAGACTAGAAATTCCCCCGGTAGCCTTGCAAGGTTAACGTTCTCTCCCTTCGTTCACAGTGACACGAATAATTGAAAGGAGAAGCTTTTGGTGGCGAGAGATAGCCACCCCACTCCCGAAACCTTCTCCCTCTTCCTTTCTTTTTTTTTTCCTATGCGATTTCATTACCCACCTATATATAAACCAGAACTTGCCTTGCTATCATTCCATCTCGAGAAAAAAGTAGAAGGCTTATCTCAACAATTATTTCCCCTTCCCTTTCTATCTTGTCCTACACGTGTATGTGTATGTTTGTGATTCTGGGTACTTTAAATAATTCATTTAGGCATTGAAAAACAAGGAAGATTGGTGACACATGTTCATCTCTTCCATTGCATGCACATTTCACCCAATTTTGGATCCACGTGCCCTCTCTTCTTCCCATGGTATCCAAGTGACGAAAATGACATGGGAAATGGGATGTCTTTCCCAGCTCATTCAATTCCATGGCTACGTGTTTAATCGTGCTCTAACTTGGAAATGGCGTCAAAACACATCATCATGAATTGAGCAGACTCACTCAAGCATTCTAGAACATTGCATCATTTTTAATGTAAACCTTTTTAAAAATAGAAGGGATGTTACAGCGGGTGTGTCATGCCCCCCAGGCGTTGCGCGGAACTTGTGACGTCAGTGGCTAGTGCCAATGTCTGGTAAGTGTCCACGTGTCCTTACATAACTGCTCTATTTAGGCGGGTGTTTTGAAATTCAAAAAGGCCTGACGGTGACGATTCTCAATGTGACTTTAACCCTTCGGTTTCCCTTCGTCAATTATAAATACAGGTTTACCATCAGGGGAGAAGTCATTCTGCTCTCTTCAAGCTTTGTTTCTTCTTCCTGCGTATGACTCCCCGGCGAGATTCCTCTCCTTCTTCTACAACCTTGTTTCTCCCATCGTTTGTTGCTAATACTCAGAGGCTAATACTCAGAGGCATATCATGGCTAGCACCAATATTGACGAGATCGAGGTCGTGCAAGACGAAGAAGGTAATCTTTCCCCTCTTTCGCATATTTCTACCGATCCTTCGCTGGATCTGGCCGATTCCGGCAACGGAAACGGCGGTGCAGCTGAT